TTTTTTTTTTTTCCTTCCCCTCCCCCATGGTCTTAAGTTTCTCAGGATCCACATAAGAGTGAAAACATATGATATCTGTCTTTCTCTGTATGACTTACTTCACTTAGTATCACACTCTCCAGTTCCATCCACATTGCTCTAAAAGGCCATATTTCATTCTTTCTCATTGCCAAGTAGTATTCCATTGTGTATATAAACCACAATTTCTTTATCCATTCATCAGTTGATGGACATTTAGGCTTTTTCCATAATTTGGCTATTGTTGAAAGTGCTGCTGTAAACATTGGGGTACAAGTGCCCTTATGCATCAGCCCTCCTGTATCCCTTGGGTAAATTCCTGGCAGTGCTATTGCTGGGTCAGAGGGTAGTTGTATTTTTAATTTTTTGAGGAACCTGCACACTGTTTTCCAGAGTGGCTGCACCAGTTTGCATTCCTACCAACAGTGCAAGAGGGTTCCCATTTCTCCACATCCTTTACAACATCTATAGTCTCCTGATTTGTTCATTTTAGCCACTCTGACTGGCGTGAGGTGATATCTCCATGTGGTTTTAATTTGTATTTCCCTGATGAAGAGTGACGTTGAGCATCTTTTCATGTGCCTGTTGGCCATCTGGATGTCTTCTTTGGAGAACTGTCTATTCATGTTTAACATGTTTTCTCTTGAAGATAAGGAAAACTAGCAATATGTACAGTATGTCCCTGTTTGGGTTTATAAATTTCAGAGCCAAACATTTACAAAATATGTTTTCTTACCTTTTTGTTAACCAAATTTAGAATGAAAAACAATGTTAGGTTACTTGTTACTAATAAAAAATTACATTTATCCTATTAGTATACATTTTGGATATGACCAGTTATTTCTTGTGGATGCACTTCAGTCTTTGGTTTCTCCTTTTTTTTCTTTAGAAGTATGCATTTCTCTTCTTGCCACATTTTAAGTTTATTTATTTTTGAGAGAGAAAGAGAGAGTGTGGGGCATGGGGCCAGAGAGAGGAGACAGAGAATCCCAAGCAGACTCTGCGTCATCAGCACAGAGCCTGATGTGGGGCTCAAACCCACAAACTATGACATCATGACCTGAGCCGAAGTCAAGAGTCAGACGCTTAACCAACTAAGCCACCCAGGCTCAGCACCCTTAGTCTTTGGCTTCTCTTTAACCAGAGACATGAAGCTTCAGATTGGAAGTGGGTTTTCAAAATTATGAAGCACCAATAAAGGTGATAATTTTAGGTCATTGCTGGCACCAGTTGGCTTTGAACTACTGTGTAACAGGTAAGTCTGGGATATCCTATACCAGGCTCCTCAACTGTGAAGTATTAGGGTGAACTTTTAATTTATATGAAATAGCAGATGTTTTGCTCTATGAACTTAGGGTAGCCTGAAGGCAATGGAAAGACCCAACTTTTTCATTCAGGGAAGGATCTTTGAGGTGGGAGAAAAGAATGGATTTTTTTTTTTAAGGGTTTACTTTCAGGGTGCCTGGGTGGCTCAGTTGGTTAAGTGTCTGACTCCTGATTTTGGCTCAGGTCATGGTCTCATGATTGTGTGATCGAGCCTCCATGTCAGGCTCAGCAGTGGGGATTCTCTCTCTCCTTCACTCTCTGCTCCTTCCCCATCCACACTCTCTTTCTGTCTCTCAAAATAAATAAATGAACTTAAAAAAAAATAAATGGGTTTACTTTCAAGATCAGTGAGCAAAAATTAAAGAGCAGCTCACTACATCCAATGGGTTGTCTGTTAATTACATTGCATGGTACTAAGAATCACTCTTAGACATTTGCAGCATCACATTAAAGGGGAGAAATAATAAAATACTTTCGTTCTAGTATTTTAGAAGGAAGGTATAATGCCCCTGATTTCAAATCCGAGAGACCACCAAGGAGCAGGGAGGAATCCTCCCTGCAATTGGCGCGCAAGTTGGGCAGGCAAAAGACAGGGTTTACATTCTTTGGCGGTTAGGGGTTCCACATTCCTATGTGAGCCGGTTTCCAGTAAGGGTGTGCTCACCGGCTTGACTAGGGTGGGGGTTATACTTGAGATGGTGGGTGTAGCATAAAATGGAGTTAGTCTTGCTCTGCTTGTCCAGGGGTAGGGGATTTTTGTTAAATTCCTTGGGTCCCACAGAAGAAAAGGCAAAATCTGATCAATAATGTGATACCGAACCCTGACAAAATTTTAGAATGAGTTATTAAACAGATGCCTTGAGAGCACTTAGGAAATGAAATGATGATTATAAGGAGCGAGCCTTTCACTAAGAACGGGTCCCACCAAGCCCTTCTAGATGAACAGGCTATTAGAGTGTCAGTGTACCCTGTTTTCAACAAGACATTTTTCTTTCTTGTAAACAAAATGAATTACTGAAGGCCAGATGATAATAGTCATGTTGATTTAAAATTAATTGGCTTTAGAGTCAGTTGGACATCTGTTTCCAGGGATTACATTGATAACAATCTGGAAGGCATATTTAGAAGGTGAATTACAGAATTTCCCCTAGACCCTGCCCTAATCTATATTTACATCAATAATTATAATGAAGCCATTAACGTGTTCATCATGTTTGCATTTAACACTAAGCTGAATGAGATTTATTCAACAAACATTTAATAAGCACCTTATGTGTGCCAGTGTTGGTCATTTCATCATCTTTCTTCCAGAATCATTTCTTTTATTCTCCTGGTATAAAGCACAGAAAGCAACAACCATAAAAGAAAAATAAATTGATAAGTTAGCATATCAAAATTTAAGACTTCTACTCCTCAAAAGACACATTAAGAAAATGAATAGAAATGCCACAGAGTAGGAAATATTTGCAAAACATGTATCTGACACAAGATGGGTATCAAGAATTAATGAAGAACTCCTAAACTCAAAAACAGATACTTTTGTTCATACTCTTTATCAAATTGAGAAAGTGTCCTAGTCCTAGTTCACTGACAGGTTTTAATCACTGATTAAAATAGGTATTGAATTTTGTTAAATACTTTTTCTGTATTGAAATTCTCATAGGGTTTTCCCCCTTTGTTGTGTTGATGTAGTAAATTTCATTGATTGATTTTCTTTTTTTTTTTTT